TGATTCCATAAAATTGAAAGTCCTCTGTACAAACAAAATTAATTCAGGTAAAATTAGAAGGGAAATAATTAATGGGGAAAATATGTGAAACAAGATTCTCCTATAAAGAAAGGTCTGATATCCAAAAATTATTTAAGGTTGATTCAAAACATAAGAACAAGATCTGTTCCCTAGAAATATATTGTCAAGGGATATGTATAGCTAGTTCTCAAAGGAAGAAATCTAAGCTATCAATAACCTTTTGGAAAAAATGTTGCGAATTACCAATAGTAATAGAAATTTATATTAAAACAACTCTGCTGACTTGAGGATGACAAAAAAGAGAAAACTATAATTGTTGGAGGGAATGTGGGAGAATAGGTATACTAATGTACTGTTGGTAGAGCTGGGAAATGGGATTGCCATTATGAAAAGCAATTTGGAGCTGAACTCAGAGTTATTAAATTGTGCGTACTCTTTGATACCCCAGTGAGGCATATACTCAAAGAGACTAAAGACAAAAGGAGAGGATGTATATGTACATTTTTCTTCCAACTATAGTTCCAACTAAAGAAATAGAAACTAAGAGGATGCTCATCAATTAGGGAAAGGATGAACAAATTATGGTATAGGAATAAAATGTTATTGCACCATAAGAAACAGAAAGGATGCCTTTAGTAAAACATGGGAAGACACATATGAACTGATGCAGAGTGAAATGAACTGAAATATGGGGAACAATTTATATGATGACTACACCGTTGCAAAGAAAAATTACTTTGAAAGACTAAAGAATTCTAATCAATGCAATGACCAACAGTATTCCAGAAGACTTACAAGATGTGCTATTGACCTACTGGCAGAGAGGTAATGGACATATGATGTAGAATGTGATATACATTTTCATACCTGGCCAATGGGTGGATTTCTTTGGTAGGTAAGGGCTTATTTGACCCAAGGGAGTTGCTTTTTTGTTGGTTTGTTTGTTTCTAAATTCAAGGGAGGAATTTGGAGACAAGTGATAGTGATATAACAATTAAATGTAAGGTAGATAGATGTGTGAGTATTGTCTAAAAATACACATTTTTTAAAATACTTACATATTATCTAGTATCTGGCCTATCATTGTATAGACAAGGTGGAGGGCTATGTTAGCACTGTCAGAAGTATATCTGAGGGAGATCTTGCACTGCAAAACCTGGGTGATCTCTATTCTAGTATCCAAGAAAGATGTCCAGCTAGAGTGATATATCTATATATGCACATATATGTATGTATGTATGTGTATACATATACATATGTGTATGTGTTTGTATACACACATATGTACATACATATACACACACACACACATATATATATACATATACATGTGTGTATACATATATATTCACCAAAGCTTAAATACATATGGCCTAAAGTACAAGTCTGGGTTCTCAATAAAAGCTGTTTCTCTGATTGCTCTCAAGAGGGTAGCTGTTAACAACCACCACCACCACCACCACTACCAATATTTATCGAACACTTCCTATTCGCTAGGCACTGTGCTAAGCTCTTTATAATTGTTATCTCATATGATTCTTACAATTACCCTGACAGAGAAGTGCTGTTATTATACCCATTTTACAGTTGAAGAAACTAAGGCAAACAGAGGTTAAATGACTTGCCCAGGGTCACACAACTGGTAAGTATCTGAGGCTGGACTTGAACTCAGGTCTTCCTAAGAACACCAAGCCCAGCACTCTGCCCACTGCATACATACCAATTTAGCCCTTTCCCCTACCAAACACTGGTTTCATAAAAACTACAGATCTCTTTATAAAACAAACATGAATTGGAGGAGTTACATAGATTATAATATACCCTTAACACCATGTAAAGATCATTCTGACAAAGATTTTACAGTGATGAGAAAGTAGCGGAGAGTGCATGGGTGTTGGTCAGGAAGCCCTAAGCTCAAATACTGCCTCTATATGATTCTGGGCAAGTCAGCTTCCTCATCTGTAAAATGAGGCTAATAACAGCACCCACCTCACAGTGCGTGGTGAAGAATAAATGAATTAAGAAATGTAAAGCTCTTTTCAAACCTCAAAGTCAAACTAAGCACTGGCTATTGTGGTAGTTACTATTATCGGGGTCTTCTTGCTGCTTTTTTGGAGTAATAATATTTTCCATGATTCTCCCCATTCTTTTGGAATCTTCCCTCCTCTGAGCTACATCATAAAATGACTCCCCCCAAGTCTTTCAGAATTGAGCCACATCCAGCATGGGTTTTTTCATATTTACTTAGTCTGGTCCAATTTTTTTTAAAACCACCTACTGCATCTTCTTAAATGACATTTCTTTTTTGTCAAGTACAAAGGTGGTAAAGTCCAAATGATTTGGTTTTGCTCTCAATAATGATGAAAATAGATCCACTGTAGAAACAATGACAAATCTGTTCCCATTTATCACTTATTTGTTGTTCACCTTCCAGTTTCATCTGTAAGTGCTCTTGGGATAATCTGGTTTAGTCACGCCTCCTGCCAAGCTTTCTACAGATGTATTTTTGCCTATGCTGCTTTTTACTATTTTATATGAAGTTCTTCTGACTCACAAACTTCTACCCTCCTCAAAAATGTTTTACAAATGTGTTTGTACCGTAAACCATTGATGCCCTTGGCATCCACTGGCAAGGAAATCCAGTGTTTGCTGGCTTAGACAATTTCAAGTCTCTTTTGGACTCCTTGTTGAACTGACTGGTTGGACCTATGAATTCACTGGGGTAGGGAGATCCCTGGTAAGGAAACTATTTGCCAATGCAGATCACAACTCTTTTTAACATATTCTTAGAGAGTTAACTGAGAGGTTGAGTGACTTTGTCCAGGGTCATACATAGTCAGTATGTGTCAGAGGTGAGACTCGAACCCAGGTCTTCCTGACTCTGAGGCCAGCTCCCTATCCATGATACCATCATGCCTCTCATCAGTTTACATGAACTGCTTCTTCAAATTTCTGTGGAAATGGTAATTATCAAAGTCAATATGACCTTTTCCCATTTCTTATTTTCCAGTGTCAACATTTTATTTGAATAGCTCAGATTGAAGCTGTTATAATTGGATCCTGTACTGCAGACAGAACCATTGTACTTCTCCTCATTCTCCAGCATCAGCATTATCATCAATCTTCATCCTTTCTTCTGATTCTCGACTGGTTTTAACTGACTACATATGAACAGTTGATTCTGAAGTGACTCCCATGTCAATAACTAGTCATTTGTTTTCTGTTCCTAAATAGTCAGATTCAGTGTGTGTGTGTGTGTGTGTGTGTGTGTGTGTGTGTGTGTGAGAGAGAGAGAGAGACAAAGAGACAGAGACAGAGACAGAGAGAGACAGAGAAAGAGAGAGAGAAAGGTTGCTTGATGATCACCAGACAGTCAACAAGCATTTTTAAAACTCTTATTGTGTACCAGAACTGTTCTATATGCTTGGGGAAAGACAGAAAAACAAAAATAAAACAAAAAACCAGTCCTTGCCTTCAATGTGACCCTGTTCAGAACCTTCCAATTCTGTTCTTAGTTGGTCACTTTGGTTATACTGGATACAACACTGGGCTTGGAGTCAGCAACACTTATGTCCAAATCCTACTTCTGATAACTAGCTGAATAACCTTGGACAAGAGATTTAACCTTTCTGAACCTCAGTTTCCTCATCTGTGACATGGGAATAATAATACCTGTAATTCCTGGCTCGAAGGCATTATTATGAAAGTCAATAGAGACCACCTTGAAAACCCTAGACTTTAGGGCCTAGAGCACTATATCCATATCATAATAGGTAATTGTTATTATGGAAGAAAATATTCATGAAAATTATCATGTATTTACTTGAGGTCAAAGACTGTCTTATTTTTTATCCTTGTATCTCCATTTAGTAGAAATTGCTGTCTTCTAGTATAATTTCCATCAAGAATATCAATATTGATATGATTATTCATTTGAAAAAAGACCTCACATTTAGAGATGGTCCTAGGAAGCTCTGTGAATCTTAGTACCCTCTTACTTTCTTTTCTGCTACCCCAACACCATTACCATGGAAGTAAGCAGGGGGCTATCTCTTGATTTTCTTTGTTTCTTAGGTTGCCATGGACAATGATTATCACCTAGTGAATGGGCAGCCTACTGGTGATGAGCCTTTTCATACTTAGGCTAGTCCTCAGGTAGCAGACCCAGCCTGCCACCAGAAATACACCTGTAGAATCTGAGAGAGGCTGTTTTACTAGCATAGTATTCCACAATCCTGGGCCACCTCCACATCACAATGAGGCATTTGAGTAGGGATTTAGTAGAAAATTTGATTGCACATTTTTTGTGAACAACTCCATTTCTGTTAGTACCTCAGGGTTTACTGAATACTCTCCTCACAAAAATCCTGGTTGGTAAGGACTGTGGGCAGAACTGTCTATTATTTTTTGCACACCCTATACCCTGCACACTGCTTGCTACATAGCTAGGTATAATATGTGTGTGTGTGTGTGTGTGTGTGTGTGTGTTTAATTTAAGACTGAAAATAGCCAAAAGGGAAGAGAGAAAAGCTGGTTCCAAGAAAACCATTTACGATTGTGTGAAACGAGGTCCAAGCCTGAGGATATTGGAGCTTCGATGGTCCCTTTAACAGGCCCTCTCGCGCTATCGCCACTGGGATCACCACGTGCTCCCACGGCCCCTGCTCCAGAGAGCACCACGTGCTTCTGAGCCCTTTAACTCACAATTTGGTCCTTTAGTCACCACGTGACAGAAATCAGCTATTCCCATTGGCTGGGAGGTAGGGGGTAAGGGAGGAGGGGGGTTTGGTGGCGAGGTGTTGCGCGGTGACGCAGGGACGGCCCGGCTCCTCCCCCTCCTGGGCTCCCTCTCTCCCCCCTCCCCGGAGCCGCGCGAGCCCTCCCTCTCCCTCCCCCCTCAGCTCCTGGCCGGCGGCGGCGGCGGCGGCGGCGGCGGCAGCGGCGGCGGCGGAGGCAGCGGCTCTTGGAATGGAATGACATCACCGGCTGTGGGGAGCTGGAGCTGCTGGGAGAGCGCGAGCCGCAGTGTCTGTCCTCGCGCCGCCCGCCCGCGCGATCCCTGCCAGCCCCGGCCAGCGCGCTCCCGCTGCCTGCTCTGCTGCTCGGGCTGGCTTGCCTGGGAGAGCGCCGGGTCCAGACGGATTAAATGCTACGCCGCCGTCGCCTCTTCCTGCGAGGATGTAAGGGGGGCAAGAGCCGGGGGAGCCCAGCCCAGCCAGCCACCAGGTAAAATCTCAACCCAAGCCCTGAGGGTGGGGGTGGGGGGGTTGGAGGGCAGGGGGCAGCCGAGGAGGTGGGGGCAGTTGGCGGAGGGAACGGGGGATGGGGGGGCAATGGAGTCGCCGTAGTGTGGGATGGGATGCACACGGGCATTGTGTGATGGAGCCGGGGAATGATGCACCGGCGCACTCAGGCATTGTGAGGAGCTGAAAGGATGCTCCGGTACCCCCGGCTGCTGTGCTCGCGGATATGAGCTGGGGCGTTGTACAGAGGAGCCGGTGAGAAGGCACCGGGACAATGCCTGGGGCGGCGGGGATGGCCGGGGCTGGGGGTGGGGGTAGCTTTGCACAGGGACGAGAGGGGGGTGGGGACGGACGGGACTGGCTTCTAAACGTTGCACTAAGGAAGCGGGGTGTAGCTGGAAGCACTGTGAATTTGTGGTTGGAAGGGAGGGATGCGACCGACCAGAATGGCTTGGGCTAATGCCTGGGGGGAGGGGGGGAATACGCTGGAAAGCACTAGCTAAAGAATTGCCCTGGAAACTGGGCAGAAAACCTCCGAGCTTGGGTTGGTCGCGCCCGGGGATGATGCGGGCGGGGCAGGGAGTGCAGGAAAGGGGAAAGGAAGGGGACCCGGGATGCATGTAGCGGAGTGTGCAGGCGATGGCAGCGGAGTCCCGGGGCAGTTCTCTCCAATTAGGGCTGGGAGGATGGAGGAACGGCAGGCTGCTGAAGGCTGCGAAGACCCATGGCTATTCCGGGGACTAGTGGGGGTGGGGAGAGAGAGATGCACCACTGAATTACGGGGCATCGAGCCGAGGGGTGGGGGAAGCCCGAGAAAGGCTGAGTCCTGGAGCTTCATACCTTTAAAGGTAGAGAGGAAGAGGGCTGAACCCAGAGACTCTGGGAAGCTTGTTGAAGGGCTTTCTATGAACAAGAAGTCTCTTCCACTTCTCCCGCACCTGGGGAGCCCACAGCACCCTGCCTTCCTGACTCCCTACCTTCTGCTGCCATCCTCTCTCTCCTGCCATGCAGAGGGATCCGAAAAGTGGCAGGGGACTTCTCCCTATCCTTTTCCTCCCTCTTCAAGTCAGGTCTGCTGGCCTTGGTTGCTGGTCAGATCATGGACATCTCTTCTCCTCTGGGCACCAGAGGGCTCTCTCTGGCCCCAAGCCCCTTTCTCCTATGGGATTCCCCCCCTCTTTCTGTGCCCCCCCTTCCATTTACTATCCTGCCTTTCACCACACCCCTCTTCCCAAATGGGATTTAGCTCCTAGTTTCCTCTGAGCACCCTCCCACCCTTCCCACTCTCAGCTTTTAGCTCAGCTCAGTGTAGCTTGTACTCCGGAGCACCAAAGGAGTTAAGTCCCCCTCTCGTGACAAGTTAGGGGTTGGGGGCCCAAAGGGTAAAACCTTTGCCTCCCCCCAGCTCGAAGATGCTGGAAGCCTGGTTCACCTAAATGGGGTGTGTGTATGTGGGGGTGCTCTTAACCAAGATTTAGGACTGCTAAGACAATTTGGGACTTTTTGATCTGTCCCTACACTGCCGTGGCCAACCCTAATTCTCTTACCCCACAGTGCTGTTCTTAGGAGAGAAACATTTCTCTTGTCCACATAGGGAAGGGGAATGACAAATCATAGAATCAGAGCTGGAAGGTACCATAGACACCTTCCTCACTGTTTTGGGGAACAAACTCAGGCTTGGAATCATAACATTTCCAACCATCTCAGGTCCCCATGGAGGGAGGGAAGAAGTGTCTGTGACTGATGCCAGCCTGAAGCCCTTTCAGTTTGGGGAAAACCAAAAAGTCTGCACTAGCCTTTGGCTGGCTCTAGGAACGGGGATTTTCTGAGAGCTCTGCAGAAGGTGAAAGGGGGAAAAGCCTGGCAGGGGTCCCACCAGGGAGACCCTGGCACAGGGTTTTGAGTGAGTGTTCACGTGCTCAGAATTCTCCTGAAGCAGACTACTCCTGGGGTGCCAATTTGTCGGAGAGGATGAAGGGGGCTGCATTCAGGCGGAGAGGGAGACCTGGTTATTGCCTCCCCACCCTGCGGGGGTGGGTGGGTGGGTGCGTGCTTGAAGGAACATCTGTGGCAGCTATAAGTACAGGGAGAGGGTGGCGGCCTTTGAATTTGTGCTTCTCCGGGTCCTGGGTGCTCTGAAGGCGCTTAATAAATGCTTGTTGAATGGAAATGCATCAGTTGACTAGTTGTCTTAGGGCTGGGGCTGGGGCCGGTCACAACGGACGTCTTAGGGCTGGGACGGGGCGCTGGCTGCCTGGATGGACTGACAGACCTCCTCGCTCCGCACGTGGCGCCCGCCCGGGGATCCCGCCTGCACCGGGAAGGTGAGAACACGGAGGGCGTGCGTACGACTCATGCAACTTATGGGCTCCGTGGGTCCCTAGACCACGGTCGATCTCCTCCCGTCCTTCTCTTTCCCCTCCCGGAGCCACAGCCTGAAATGAAATCACTAAATCCCGGCCAGGGGTGGGCGCCAGCCCGCTGCCGCCGCAGCCCGGCAGTCGCCCCACCGGGCAGTCGCCCCTGGCCGCGCGAGCCGCTGGGGGGCGAGGGCGAGGGCAAGGGGAGGGGAGGGGCGGGGAGAGGAGGGCTGACGTCATTCCCGGAGGAGGCAGGGGCGGAGTTCCCTCCCCTCTCCCTTCCTCCATCCCCCTCACCCCCCATTGGCCGTTATCTAGCGCTTCGGCCGTTGGACTCCGCGTTCGAACTGTAACCGGTGGGGGGAGCGGGGGGGGGAAGAGAGAAAAGCTTGCGAGTGCGCACGCGCTGTGTGGGGGGGGTGCCCGGAGGTTGTGTTTGAAACCTGTCCCCTGAGTCTCTGAGGAATTGAGGGGGGTAGGGGGAAGGTGGCAGCCGGGAAGTGGGAAGCCCGGGCAGGGTTTTTTTTCTCTTTTTCTTTTCTATGTCCTCTCCGACCCCCGCTACAGTGAGGAGATTTCCCGCCCCTCCCCCCGGGCTGGTGCACTGTTTTGGGGGGCTGAGGGATACCCCCAAACCCAGCCGCCTCCCCGTGCACCTTGTAATGCCCCCTCACATGCCTCTCTGCTTGGGCTGGGCCTGCGGGGTTTCCCTTTCTGTGAGACTGGGAATGAGGGGGTCCTCATTTAGCAGGACATGGTATGGGGGGGACCCTATTTATCAAGACTAATGGGGAGGCTTCAGGGAAAGGGGGGAGGGAGGCATCCATACTCCTTTGGCCGAATAGCATCTCCCAACCAGACTCGGTAGGGACTCTCTTTTCTCCCCACCCCTTTAATGCTCCTATGGTTTTCTAGATCTGAAGCTTTTCTTTCTAGATCTGAAAGCTTTCTTGACGAGAGAAGGAGCAGAGCCTGGGAATTCATTAATTCATTACTTCATTAATTTGCTCATCAGCCATTTCTGGAGTGCCTACAGTGGGCAAGCAAGCCTCTGGGTGCTGGCTGCTGGGGAAATACAATGGGACTTTGGCCTGCGTGGGGTCGGGGGCAGATCTGTGAGGAGCAGCAGTGAGCCCCCTTAAGATTAAAAATAAAACAAAAACCAAATTGAAGCCTGGCTCCAAAGGAGAGAAGATGCAAGTGGCTTCTGTTCTCTCTGGGCTCGAGGGTTCCCCCCACCCCTTAAGCTTCAGGGCATCTCCTGTTGCTGATTTACTATCTTGGGAGCCCTCATCTCTCCCTGCAGCTGCTGTGAGTGCAGTGTGAAAAAAGCACCTGGCTGGTGCTAAAGTGGGGTGGGAGATGGACGGGGAGAAACGTGTGTGTGTTTGTGTTTTCTCCTTTTCCCTCAATTGTTCCCTTCACCCTTCTGGAAAAGTTGGCCAGTTGCCTCTGATGAGACACCAGCTGCTTCTGCTCAGGGCCTTATTAATGGGTTTAGGGATTTGAGGCGACTCTCCATTTGCATATTTCTCCCTCTCTCCATTTCCCAGGGTCTGGTGTGGCTTCCTATTCTGCCTCCCCCCACCATCCTCGCCTTCTGTGTCTCTTACTCTGCCAACTAGACCTTCATAGCTGCCACTGGCATTTACAGCTTTAAAAAGGGAGTTTGTGTAGTGGGAATAGTAGGTTTGAGGGGAAGGCTGGGGCTGGGATGTATCCTTGTCTGTGGTAGAGATATACAAAGAACCGGACTTGCTCCTGCTGTCTAGTGCTTTGAAGTAAAAGGAAACCACATGATGCTCTTTCTTCAGTATTCAGGAAAATGAGTTTTCTAGCAAGTGGGTTGGATCAAGTAAGAGATCCTTCTGTCCCAAAATGGACTCAGAGAACCAGATAAATGCAATTATCTTATTCCTCCAGATGGCCTAGAGACCATATTTATGTTATTTAGGGTGAACATTGGAACATCAGATTTTAGCATTAAAAGAGAATTTTGAGATTTTCTAGTTCATCTTACCCCTCCCTTATTTCACAGATGAGGAAACTGAGGACTGAAGAATTGACTTGCTCAAGGTCACACAAACTAGTAAGTGGCAGAGCTGTGATTCAAAGTCAGATCCCCTGTCTCCAAATTCAGCACTTTATCTATGAAATACCGGAGGAGAGGATCTCCCCTCCTGCCTTGACTTCCCTCTTATTCTGGGAAGAAAGAACAATGAAGGGGCCAGAGGTTTGGCTTTCCTGTTAAGACCTTAATTCATTTTCTTGAGTATTGAGTGGACAAGGTCCAAATTCCCTCCCCCATTAGCTGTTATAACTGAGGGCCCCGGGCAGGTCTGGCTCATAGCTTTGCAATGCTTTGCACTTAGTAGGCCCTTCATAAATGTTTAGTTTACTATAGCAAAGCATTTAAGAGGATGACAATGCACTTTTGGTGGGGGTGGAGGTGGGAGGAGTTCCCCCCCCATGGGGATCTCCACCTGCCCTGCCTAACGATGGCTTAATCGTGTGGAGAATTGATATAATTGGGCACAATATGCACAGTGAGCAAGGAGCAAACAAGGATGTGCCTGGAGAGATGGTACAACCTTAGTGAGCTAATGGGTCTTTTCCAACCCTTACCTCCCAGTCGATGACATCTTGGTGTCTGGGGAAATCACAGAGAGCTCCTGATGCCGTCATCCTGAAGAGTACCCTCCCTCTCCCCTACACACACACACACACACACACACACACACACACACACACACACACA